AAGAAGAGTGGCGCCAACAATCTAGTCTGTTCTACCACACTCTAACGAATAAATACGTCTATGCACAAGCATCTGGGATAATTTTGATAAAAAATATTTGTTTTTTTAATCTTTCTATCCCGAAGTCTTATCACAGAGTTCCTCGCTCCTATGTCAACAGTGTATTTGGCGTTTACGTAATGAATTTTGAATTTTCGACTTCATTACAGATCGTGAATGGGGTGATTCACAATGGTAATCAGGGATTAAAATTTGCATAAGTCGAGTGTTGTAAACCTATCACATAAGCACCAAATACACTGTTGACAACTATTCTTTGTAAAGATCATTCGTGTCAAGACTTGTAAGTCTATTACATAATAAACAAATGAACAGCTGATAACAGCCCAGATCAGGTAAATATAATTGTCTACCATAAATTACAAAACATACAGGGTTTGTTTTACTACAAGCTTAACGCCTACCACATTTAGACCAAACATAAACAAACTCGAGATGTAAAACCTTTCAACAAAGCGTAGCGTTTTTAATACTTTATAATTACTAGGTTCACGTTACGGCATGCGTTACGGGGTCTCAGCACGTGCTGAAATTGTTTAATCCTTCACGTTTGGTGAAGGATTACAGAAGTTGCGTTCACGCTAGTCGACACCCGCTTTCGACCCACTCGACCCATGTTAAAATAACGCCCTCATTCGTCGAACTGTTATTTGATCCAGACATAGAAATCCATACGCATATGATGATAATAATAATTGCTATATTGAAACTATATTCATTTACTGTAATGGCATTCATTACGAGTCATCGTGCTCATAAATGAAAAGGAAGATTCGAAAAACTATTATTTTTTCACGTCAATGTAACATTGCGGGAAAAAACGGTTGCAGCAGACATAAATATGCGTCGCTGACAACGGTTTTCACTTCATTGTTACAGAATCCGACCATATATAGCTGCACTTTTTTTCATCGTCATGTCATACTTGTATGAATCAGTATAAATTCTCGTAAATTTACCACCGAGGGCGTGATTTCGGTTTGTCCCGAGCGTTCACATACAGGTTTCGGCACGTGCCGACTCGGTGCCGAGATCTCTGACGTGAACGCCACTAATGATACCCTGAAATTTGCAAACAATCATTTCATTGGTGTAACAATTAAGCTATAAAAAAAAATCATGTTCAAAATCGAATCAGGCGACAGACGTTCGGTCCGCGTCTCTCACGCAACACGTGAGATCTCACGAGAAACGGAAAATCATTTAGGTAATTTTTACAGATAACTGTGAAGTTGTTATCATAACATAAATATGACAGCACTGTTGAAATTCTATCCGAATTCAAATAAAAAAAAAATGTTCACAGTTCCACAAACAAAAAGCGTGTGTATCTTTTTGGCGTGAACATACTTGTCATACACGTAATCAATGATATTATAGTTCATAAAACAACATTCATGCCAATTAATTTTGTAGTACAAATACTGAGTCAAAATAATGTTGGTCAAATGCGTTAGTAACAAATACTAGTACTAGTAGTTGGTTTCATCGGTTTGTGTAAACAGTTGCCAAATATATACCGTGTTTATATGGGGTTCGACGCCGAGTAAATTTTAATCAACTGTTAAACAATATTTAGTGAGCTGTAACTCTGTCTCGATCCGAGATAGTTTGGCTTCGAATCAGTTGGGTCCATGGTTGGATGATCTTGACCTCCCAGCCTAACATGTAGGCGTGAGTGGCGCCCTTTACCGGCCGAACGGCGTCATATCCCACCAACTGTTGAATTTGGAGCACCGCGGAAGGCGCAACTCGCGCGACCTTGTCAGGCTACTCCTCTGTGTTTAACCCTGAGTTGTGAACAGGATCCCAGGGCTAAGGCGTGAAAAGTGAAACCACTTCGAAGCAAGAACAGAAATCAAGTTTCACACTAGCCATAATATATATATATATATATATATATATATATATATATATATATATATATATATATATATATATATATATATACTAAGTATATGAATTATCATACCATCAAACCCTTTTCGACATACTTTATTCGGCACCAAACTAACGCTTTTAATCTCCCAGGAACCAGCTGTCGCCAATTTTAAAACACGTGTGACAATGTACATCCCAACAATAACACATAAAAATAAAATAAAATAAAATAAAATAAAATAAAATAAAATACACCAATAATAGTTGGTGGTTGTAGAACGGATATTTTGGTTATATCAGTCGAAACAAATATACTCCATGACACAATGTCCAGACAATCTGTATTTAACAACATTTGCTTTCAAACCACCTGACCCTAGTCGACCTAGTTTAATCGTTACTTTAGCTTTCATCGTGCAAGAACCAGCTGTCGCTAATCGTAGGACAGTGTTTACAAATGACTCGTCATTACAACAATATTTGTTTTTACATTTGTCCTGAAAACTGGTTTGATCGACGTTTGATTGACAATACTAGTAAACATTGTAGTCATTGTTCACTTACAGTAAAATGTGTAAACTGCAAGGCATGCTGGGATATGATATGGTCTCATATGCTAAACACATCACAGTCTTCCGCCATCCATACTGAGTATTGTGTGAGCCGGGCCCTTGAGGCTGCTATACGTAGGATGTATGAGTATTATACAAAATCAAAAACAAAACACAAATGTAAACCTTCTTCGGCAAAAATAAAAAAAAAAAACATTTTATTGAAACACTAGATACGATGTCTTCTCGTTCCATTCGAACGTCTCTATGCATTTGACGTGTTTGGTTCTGATGGAACTTTAACTGTCTTCTACCGCCGAAACACTTTCTGGCGTTTCATATAAGTAGTTGTCATTCTTCTATAATTTGTTTTTTCACGAACATGCGAATACGAAAAGTATACCCCCTTCTCCGCCAAATTCAGAACACACGTGTGCACCAGCCAAGGGACCCCTTAGGAGGTTTGTGAGTCGAACAATATTTGTGCACATTGCTGCGTTTGCTGATGTCACCAGTTGTAGATTTGACCATAGCCTGGCGATTCGCGTGAGTTGCGCCCTCCGCGGTGCTCCAAATCCAACACAGTGAGGTCTGATGCCGTTCGGTCGGCGAGGGCGCTACTACGCCTACATGTCAGGCTAATTTTACCTCCATGATTTGACCTACTCAACCGTGTCCAAATAGGCACTTTTGGAATTTCAAATGTAAAATTGTTTTTTCGAGGGTCTGGTCTATATATAAATACAAAGACGAAAGAACATTAAAATAAATAATGCGGACAAAAATAAATCATGTCATAACGCTCCACAATTGTTACATATATTCGTAAAGTATAGATATTGTATATTGCGTACAAATAGGTGTGTTAAAAAAAAACATGTATATGAGCATTTTATTGTTGTAAACGCGACTAGATCAAATGCTCTATGATATAAAAAATGGCATTGAAGCGAGGGGCACGATTCTAGCTCTCTTTAGTTACAAAAGTTTTAACTTTCATGAAAACTTCACATTCGTCACTTCGCAACGCGAACCCAAGGCGGGATGACAGGCACTGCGCGACGCCTGTGGCATTGCGTGACGACTGCGGTGCTGCGGGGCAATTATGTGAATGTACAAAATCTATGCCTATATTTATACCAGAATACAATTTTTATAACAATGCTCTTCTACGGGAGTTGCTACTTTTTTCCGAAATTGCTTGTAAACGTCGTAGTTAACTTTCAACAATGTTATCAGTGATGTAATATTCTACTTCCTTTGTAGGTACCACCTTCATCCTTGAGATCGTGGATGCTATTCTGCACAGAGGAAACATCGACGAAATCAAAGGGAAAAGGATGGAGGATAAACTTAATCTGATCGAATTGGGCCCGGCACCAGGCATCGAAATTGCTACGTATAAAAAAGTGTCGACGTGGAAGTCGCCTCGACAAATCCAGACGCATTTGTCAGTCGATCAGATGCCACCGCAGGTGTTCACTAAAAAACCTAGGGTATCTAAACATTTTTCTTTACGGTAAATTCTCATGTCACGTATCCCAATGATACTGTGTGATAGATGGGCTTAGGGTCGGTCAGGGTGTATAAATTGTCACGTGATTAAAGACGTGATCGAAACACGAAACTCCGGATACTTCTCGGTTACATATCTCTAAATTGAAAGCATCAACCTGTGACGTCATTCGCATCACGTATAACATTCTTCATACAATGTTTCATTTCAGATTATCTTTGTAACAAGAAATCCCAGAGATTGTTGCATATCTCTCCACGAATGGCATGCGACTGTCAAGTTCTTGGAACCATGTGAATGGGACTATTTTGTCGATCGTTTTTCAGAAGGCCAAAGTAAGCATTCTATTAAAACTGTTATTCGATTTACAGTCGCGAGGGGGCGCTGGTCGTAAAACTTCAAATGTGTATAGCGCCACCAATGTATTGTCTTCACCCATACAGATGCCAGTGTCAGAGATTTACCTGAATAATACATATAATATTAGATCAATAACATTTTAGAGTGCACTCTCATAATTTTTAAAATTTCAATTGAATCACAGAATGTGAATACTTTTCAAACATAATTACACAAAACAGATGATCCATTTTAGCAGTAACATCAACCCCCCAATATGACATTAACCCTCGCACAATAGCATGTGCACAACACACAAATGTGTAACGTATAAATCTAGTGTAATCATTGTGCAATGTAAGTTTGAAAATAAGTTGGCCTCGAACCTGGGTCGTACCGGCCCCTAGTTTAACATGTAAACTAAAATAGATCGACAAAGTTGGCACAATTAAAGCGGGGGAGTCGTCACCTGTGCATGCGTCAGATGGCCATAGCGTGTCATTGTTTACAAACAAGCGGCTACCCACGAGCCTTTGCGTTTTCAGCC